AGATCAGTAAAGTTACATTTCCTTTAGTGAGGGTAAATTAAATCATTTAACTTCTTGACCTTTTTGCAGCTATCATGTTTAGCATCACTACAACAGTAAACTGAATGCATTCATTATTAGATACTGCTTTCCTTTTGCTAGAAAACTGAATTAATTTTATGAACAATAACAGAAAAATCTTTACCAGAATTAACAAATGGCATCTTACAGAAACAGGAAGGCAAACCAAAAAAGTTCTTTGGCTTCCTACCTCTGTGCCAAAATCTACGCTGAAGAGCGGAGAAGGTGGTGTGGGAGATGGTGTTGCCATAGGAAGGGTCGACGATACCAGAGGAGTTTTCTGCGTGTGGTATTGTGCCCATTGCTCCGGCTTCCGTCTTAATTGCTCATCATAACCAGTCTTCAGATGACCACAAGGCTCCTAGCAGTAATAAATACAGGACTGTATATCTTATCCTACTCTAATCAGAAGGCAAATGCTTGCACAGGACACACCTGGACCCCCAAATTCCCTTGGGTCTGTAACTTTCCATTGGTATCAGTAGGATTTGTAGGAGAACCTGGCCCATGTATGGCAACTCAAATCTTAAATACATAATTAATTCAAACAACATGCATGGTAATTAGAGAAGCTGAGGGGATATGGTCCTAATGCAGATTAGAATAGTCTAATTGTACAAGCCCATTTTAATAAAGTTAAAAAAAAAACCCAAGAACTTTGTCCAGGTCACATGTTTTGACCAGTGTAACCCCAAATAAACCGAAGAGTTCTATGCTAATTATTTACCAACTTTTCAGGAACGACCTTCAGAACCTAGACTGCATCCTTCCCTTTCTGGCTCTCACTTACCCTGGGTAAAGGCACGGTCCTCTGTTCGTTTGGAGGTTGACAAGCCACAGAGTAATACCCATCCAAAGAGTTGTATCTCTCACGTAACGATGTCTGATAGACAGATGAGTGCATCACATCCATGGGAGGTAAAGAATTGCTCCTAATAATATCATCTCGGGGGTACATCTGCGGGCGCCAGATGCGCCTGCTGTCATAAACTGGAGCATACATTCCAGAAGGGACAGGAGGAACTGGTCCATACGGCTGCGGAGGAGGAGGTTGGTAAGGAGAATTCAGTCGATCTCGAGGGGGAAATGTACTGTAATGATCGGCATATGGCACGGAAGCAGGTGGGAGGGAGGACTCTGGAACGTTATTGGACCTCACAAAGCGAGGAACACAGGGAGCCACACCAGCTGGTACTGTTGGAGGTGGTGGATAATATCCTTAAAAATTGGAAAAAGGCATATTTAATGTAACCACAAATGACCCAGAATTTTACACCTACAACTGTAAATAGTGTTAAGTACCTTTAGAGAATGAAGAGTCACACTTTACAGACCTGTTACTGACCCTCTCATGTTTCTGTAGAGTATAATTTCATGTATGACAACCATATTTGCAGGTGTAGTGCTGACCCTTTACCACCTTGACCCAATTTGGAAAATGGAGTTTCTCTGAGACTGCTCCTACGTCCTATGGTACAACTATGAAACTGGAAAGACTGCATCTTAAGCACTTCTTTATACAGGAAGTTAAAATAGTTCCCTGAAATAAAAAGGTATTTTGCTTAAAAAAAATAATTCCAAAAAATTCCAAAGGTGCATAAATAACCATTTCACACTTGGCTTACTCTTCTTTCTTTGGAGAGGATTGTCTGAACTCCTCTACCTTTTGTTTTTAGAGCTTATGAATGACCTGACACTATAACATCTAACTAATTGCTTGAACTTAAACATGCACACTGCAACCTAAAAAGATGACTGAAACTTTTCAAGAAACATTTGAGCAAGCACAAAGATGTGCAAGCCTCACAGCAGAGGATGCTATGCCTCTGGGTCTGAATCCTGCCTATAGATACCCTCATGGTTAGGGCATGAGGTGAGCAAGCCTAAATAAATGCAATTAAATGCTAACAAAGGAAAAAGCAGATGAAAGATCTTGAGGTTCAAGTTCTTCTGGATGCTTAGGTACAACTTGCATCACATACAGCACACAAAGACAAGAACCAGCAACGCTGGGAACAAACTACACATCCCTCCCATACTCAGATTAGTATTCCATTAAGTGAAGATTCAGCTGATATTTAAAAAAAATATAAAAAAAATATCCAGAAAACTGATAAAAGTGATTTCTCAGCATTCAGGCTTATCTAGAGAAAAATTCAGAACTATTTTTGATTCAGTGCTCATCTCACTCACCTGTCTGTGGGTACTGTGGAACTTCATACGACAGCTGAGTCCTGGGATCTTGGAAATATTGAACGTTGTCAGAATGTGGAGGGTAGACAGGTACTCTGGGAACAAACGGGCTGGATTTTGGAGGCACAGAATTAACTTCTGTTCCAATATTAGGAGGACCAGCTGAGGTAGCTGCTGCCTGGCTTACAGGAGTCTTGGGTGGAGAACCAATTTTACTGAAAAGGATTACCAAGAAATCATTAAGTAGATCTTTACTTATTTCAGTTGGTCATCTCTCTGTGTATGCTCCCATGTAATGTGGAAATCTGGGCCATGTCATTTCCTGTGGAATTTTACTTTTCATACCCCAAATTGATACTACTATTTCATCTCAGATTTTCTCCTAAGAGAGCTCAAAGGTGCATATATATGTTTTGGTATGTACCCAGAAGCTTACATCCTGCTTGTAAGTGCATTCTGGTAAACAAAAGGCTTTGAAAAGTTCTTTAAAGGCTCTGTGCTTCCCAGAGAAGTATCCAAAAATTTTTAAAGGAAAACCCCCAAACTAGGAGGTTTCCAGGATTATTAAGGGACTATGCACTACACACACCCTCCTTGGTTTCAGGAAATGTCAAATTTTGAGTGGAAGTTTTTTTGTTTTACTTTTATGCAATAAGCCAATAGTAAGTCAGATACCAGGTTGAGAACAACAGAATAAAAGATAACAGGAGACATTTATCATTTTATCTATATTGCATGGGAGTATTCAACAGGCAAAACAACCAATACTGGCCCTGACAACCTGAATCCACAGACTCTGTATAATGGTATCTGTACTGCAGCACAAGACCTTACACAACTCTGCAGCCAGCGAGCACCAGCAACAACCGCAAGCCAGGAGCAGAATTCAGTATCTATTGTTTGCCATCCACAAACTCCACGAGGATCTAAAAGCAAAACGTTGTGCTTAGTTATCTTGATGAAAAAAAAGTTACCTACTTTTCAGGTAGTGATTCTGTAGGGGATCCAGAAACATTCTGGCCATTGGCTCCAGTCTTCCCTCCCTTCTTGGTGCTCTCCAAAGCTCTCAAGGAGGTGTCTGCACAGCGAGGGATCAATTGGGGAACACCACTTTCTAAATTAGCTATTCCATTAGTACTTGGCACCATCTTCCCTGTTGCTTCAGGGGTTCCTATGACAGAAATGACATTTCCTGTTGTGGTTGAGACGGTGCTATTTACGCCAACTTTATTTAGAAGGGGGAATGTTCTCACTGTTGCACTGATTTTTTTGTTCCTCAAGCGATACCTATAAACAAACACATATACAAACAAACAAAAGACATTAATTAAAAAGTGCTTATTGGGCAGTTTTGTATATTTGTAAAACTAGCAAAAGGAAGGGATTGACAGGAACATGATATAAAAAAAATTACAGGACTTTAACCTGGTGCTTATTTTCAACAACCTGTCAATAGAACATCAATGTCTTCCTTGTAACCGAAAATCATCCCTCCTCCTAGAAGATCCACTTCTGTTGTTCTTTGGAAATGGATTTGGGTGAAAACAGCTTTGAGAATGCACACATTACATACTATTTGAATAACTCAATTCCTCTATCAATCAAAATGTAATTAACATTCTCTTTCCTGCAGGTGATATAAGCAGGCCCTGATAGACACTGAGCCTAAACTCAGTTTCAGGAAAGGAAATTTTACTTCATATAAGATAAAATAAACAAACCTGGAATGAGTTTACAGATATTGCTTTACTGCACCTTCAATTTCATGTAAAGAGTTGCCACTTCAAGAGATTCACAAATACTTCTGAATGAATAAATGCATAGAAGAAACTGCTTTCAAAATGCTATGAAGATTGCTTGGATTTAAATTGGAAAAAAAAGTCTCCCACACTCACTTTTCAAGCTCTTCCTGAGAATGAGCAAATGTACAGTTTGTTCCTCTTGGACATCCCCCTTGCTGTCGAAGGTCTCGGCACATACTTGTTTTGTATTTGCTATTTGGCTGAGGCTTTAAAAAAAAACAAAACAAAACCACAAGACATTCCAATACATATCTACATAAAAATAGGCTTAAAATACACACAAACACATCCATGAGATCCTTTTACATTAATCAGAAAACTAAGGAAATTTCTTGTTGATGGCCTAAGTACTGTGCCATTGTATGGATCTCTCTACAGCAAGCTCTGCTGCGTTCCATATTCAGTTCTCAAAACTGAATGCAGTAAATAACAGTATCATCAGTTATTTCACAGAGAAAGCCATCAATATTTCAAATCAATAGTAATATTTCAAAGTCTCATCTTTCAGTAAATGTACATCAAGACATCAAATGCAACAAACAAATGTTACCTGTGGAGTTTCATGGCCTTTTCTACTGTAATTCTGAATGAAATCCACCAGCCCATGTACCACAGTCTTTACAGCAACCATTGCATTTTCCAGCTGCTCCCATGTTGGAGACGCTGCATCTAAAATTATTAAAAGCAGGTTTGTCATTCTGTCAATAATTACAATAGTATAAAGAGTGAGAGGCAGCTCTTCTGGTACTTCAAACCACCAAGTACTAGGACAGAGCTTAGAGAGCCCTGAAGAAGAGTTTATGATATACTATGCTAAGGAACAGGAATTCTGAAACCAGGAATGGAGGTTATCATATTAATAATTTACTTGATATGAAAAATATCAAGAAATGTTTTAAAAGCTTGACTAGCATACCTGGATTTGGATCTATGTTTGCCAGCAGCTCTAAGTGAGGTCTCAGCCTGTTTAAGTTTGCAGGATCCCCTGTGCGCTGCAAGACAATTGTCAATTCTTGTACGCTCTTTGCAAAAGATTCTGGAGACTGGAGCTAAAAACAAAGTGAGTATTAGTGTGCTGCATCTTGCAACTGTGAACTACTAATCTTAAACAGATTTACATTAAACTGGTTCCTCAATGCAATAGGTAGTGTCTTCAGATGGCATATAGAGAGTATCAGTGGAGAGAAATTTAATTTCTCAGCTCAGAATCTGCCCTATGAAGCTTCATCATAAGACACTAAAAAGGGAGTGAAGACTGACTGGAAAACAAAATATCTTCATAAGAAGAATACACTACAGTAGGGAGAAAATCTTCCTTCTAGTTCTAACTAATACTTGGTATAACCAAAGACAGAATGTTAACTCAAGTGGTTCTTGGATTTTTATTATAACATTGAATAGTCAAATCTAATCCCACAAAGACACTAAAATCATCCCTTTGACGAACCTTGTCAATAATGGATTGCATGTGTGATTTATGTGCCAAGTCACCATACAGAAGGGAAGACCATTGTTCTGGTGATATTCGAAGTCCTGCTTCCATGGCAATGTGAACAATTTGGGCATCATGTTCTCTCCGTAAAGCCTCATAGCTTCGAAACTCTTCTTTAAGTTGCATCAAAGAAGAATCTTCATCCCTTTTAGTGACCTAATAAATAGTAATAGTTAAATACTCCTCCTTTAACAAAAAAAAATACATCTCCAACTCCAGCAGAAAAAGACAGTTACACAGCACAAATCACAGTAGTATTGCTTTTGGACATTTAGCAGATGTTTTCTTCCATGTATTCATCCATGTTAGCAGTGCACAGGCAGAACAGCCAGCTCTTCAGTTTTTACAGGATCACAAGTGTAAAACTATACCAACTCCACTAATTCCAACTAGGAAAGCAATCAGATTTGCTTAAGTTACAGATGATACAGTTACCCAATATTAAAGAATGACTTAAAGAAACAGGCAAGTGCCCCGAAGTTACTTAAATAACACAAAGAAAAAAAATAAATTAAGATACTGACATTTAAAGAACAAATGAACAAACATATTTGAACAAACTCCAAATATTGGCATTTTACCTTAAAGCATGATGCTCTATACAGTAGCTGCACAACATGACCAATGCTCGTTTTAGAGGCCTGAGGAAATCTTGGTTCTAGCCTTTGTACAACAAAAAGTACCAGAACTTTTCTTGAGAGTGCAGAGCCATCTTCCAGCGCCAGTAATACAAGTTTCAGTGCCTCCTCTTGCATAGCTTTAACACACAAAAATAAAAGGGATTTATATCTTTCACAGATATTGCCAAAAAACAGCAAGGCTATCATCAGTTACTGGAATCAAGAGAGGACTATTTCCAGTTTAAACATAATTTCCTTCTCATTTCTGTGCTTGGTTTAGCAACATTCTTTTGAAGAATCTGCTGTTTCTATCAAAGATATAAATAGGATCATTATAAATTTTAAAATTCAAGTATACTGCAACTACAGTTAGGCTGACTGCATTTACAGCTCAAGCATGAACAGGAGAGCATTTGCAGTTTCCTATCCATTTCTAATCCCAGGCAGCAGTACAACCAGCCTGTGTTACAGTTACACTGCACTACAAACTGCAGAAAGCATGCTTGTTTATACTCTTTTTTGCCACTATTTTTGTTTGTACTTTGTTTATACTTTTTTTTTTTAAATACTTCCTCATAATTTTGAAAGACGGTTAAGAAAGGATGAGGGGGAACCCAAAACTTTAAACCAGCAGATTTTACAAACTTGTAGGGTTTTTTTTTTCCCTCCTTTCTCCCTGGCAAAAAGTTGAAAATTTGAAGTACTTACATCTTCAATCAAACCAAAGAAATTTCCAAAGAATGTTTTTTTGTGTTAGGAAAAAGTACAGCTAAATATACTGTTGCAGATTCTACAGGTACTTTACCTGGTCCTAGAAACTGGCATCCTCGTGCCCTGACAGCAGCCCAAAGATTGGCAGAAAGCTGCTGAGGATTTTGGTGCTGCAAGATCAGTTCTGTCACGGTTCTCTCCCCCAGTGACCGAGCTGCTCTCATAGCTCTAACCCGACCTTCTTCCTCCACCAGCTGACAGTTCACCAGCGTCACCAGCTTTCTTTGCATCGGACGGCTCAGCGCGCTCTGATTCAAGCTTGCAACACCTTCAAAGAAAGCGAGAAAAGGCAAACTGTTGCTTCTCATCAGATACATTTATCTGCATAAGATAAACAAAAATGTCTAATATGAAGTGTCTTTTTCTAGGACTTGGATACTTGTCACAAGTATCTTCCCTTCTCTTCGGCAACTCTGTGTAATTCATTATCAAAGAGAATTTTAAAGTCTTAAGTTCACATCAAACCCATCCTTTGAGGAAAGTTCAGCTTCAGTACAAAGGTAGATCCAAGGAAATAGTATAAAATAAAAAAGAATATTTTCTAAACTTAAAAGAAATTTAAAACTCATCAAGTGTGACAGATGTGAATAAGCTGTGAAAGATGTTAAGGGAAAATTTATTACAAAAATGAGAGGATTATCCCATTGACTCCTGAAATCAGCGCTGAAAACACAACGCTGTTAAAAGTAAGCTACGGCAAAATGCTGCTGTTCAGTAGAGACTCACCTTTTCCTCCACTTAATGGCTTTAAGTAGAGTGCCAAATCCTCAACACATTTCTTTGCTACTTCATAATGTTTGTTCTCTCCTACATTACTCAACTTTACTGTCTGATGGTCAGGTACCTAAGAAAATGCAAGGGGGAGGGAGAGGGAGAAGAATTATATGTACCCAGGTAACCCATCTGATATACCTCTGACGGCACCAACATCACTACTACTAATTACATAACACTGCAGATGTACACGGCTTTTTAGAGAAGTAAAAGCCAGGACCCACCCAAAGTATGCAGGATGGAATAAGGAATAACAAAAAGGACTCAAGATGAGGATGAGGGTGATGAAAGCTTACTTTTGTTAGTACTCAACACGTTAAGAATGAAAGTGGGATAGAAAACAATAGCCAAGGTCTAATGAGAAAGTACTCAAAAGCTGAACGAAGAACACGAGATCTGAGAGGATGCTCAGTGTACAAGATCAGTGTGATTTACTACAGAGAGACAAGGGAAGTTGTAAGACAAAACTAACCGGCAGGAAAACATGACAAAAATCAAATGCAAAGTTAAAACATAATTTAAGCATAATTTGGGCATGCTGAAATCTTCAAAGAGAAGAACTAGCAAACTTAACTTGGTGGAAAAAAACTCAAAGTAGAGTAACAAGGTCAGACAACGAAAATAGAAGGAACATTAGTCACAATACATGGAATTTCAAAAAGTTAGGAGACCAGGAAAACCAATGTTTTAAGATCAAGGCAGTGATCTGACACAAGCTTAGAAATAAAAAAAGCACCAAAAGGAACATGTGAACTTCAGAAACAAAACCACTTTGACATATAGTGTTATTACCAATAGTTGTGTCAAGGCACCTAATAACACATTATAAAGCAAAGTAAAAAAGCATCTTCTCACTGCATCAGCTGGCTGCAACAGCAAGAGTAACAGGAAAAAGCATATGAATCAGTGTGAGGTGAACAGACTTATTTAGTCTCCATTAAGTGCAGCACTGATTATATAATCGCTGTTTTGCCACTGCTACGAGACAGCACGGGGAACATTCCTGGCCCGATTAGCCAGTGTCTGAAAACACAACTGAAAAGCCATCATCAGGCATATTTTAAAAAATAAATATATATATATGCACACACTTCTGAAACTTGGGTTAAACAGCTAGCTATTTTCAGCTATGTGACACCTAGAAACAAGACTCCTTGGAAGAGTACGATGAATGAGTGCAACCTGCAGGGTCCCTTTTCTCAGGACAATTGTCTATTTTCTAATAAGGATTTATCCCCAGTCACAGTTCAAGAGCTTTTTTAAATGAGAATTCAGCTTACAACTAGCACATGTTTTCATTTTATGAGAAGAGAATGGTCCTGAAAATGGTGTAGTTGCTTTTAGAGTACGTATGGACTTTGTAAATATTACAAAGTTCAGGTCTTACAATTTTTTAGATTAAAAGGAGGGAACAAAATCAGCACATACATTGCAACTGGCATGTTGCAATAACTAAAAATGGTAATAACACAATGTGGCAAAACAAAGAGCTGCTTAAATCGTACCTGGGCTCCAACTAACTGGAGGAGTGCAAAGTTGACGGGAAGCACGTCGATGTCGGTGTTGATGGCAGTCTGGTCGAAAGGACATGCCTTGCGATGGAGCTTGTTCAGGCAGGTCTTACAGACAGTGTGAGAGCAACCTAAGCTGATGGGTTTGTGCACATTCTCATCAAACTCGTTGTAGCAGATTGGGCAGGACAGAAATTCTGTCCACTGAGCTGCCTGCACAGGCATTGTGGAAGCTGGACACTTGTTTAGCAGGCTAGAAGACCATTATTTCACTGTACTATGTTTTGGCAGCTGTAAGTGAATAACAGAATATTTAAAATATGCTTTCTACTAATTTGGAATTATTTTTCATTAAACCCCACCACCACCATTTCAATATTTTACAGAATAAAACCAAATCCTTACGTTTAAATACTCAAAGAAAAATCCAACTTTGTATTAGTTTAATAATTGTACCAAAAAAGGCCCATTAATCAAATTAATGCAGACTACCATAAGTTGAAGTCGAACCTATCCACAATAAATAGCTTTACAGTTCTTTTCACAGGATTAAATACACCTTGAGAGTAGGAAGAGGAAGATATTCATTGGCACAGAAAGCACAAAGGCACGAATCACAGTAACCATCTCTCACGTTATCTCATCTAACCTCAAGTTTTCAAACCCCTGAAAGCGCTCCCTGGTTGTAGAATGGGGAGAAAACACAATTTTTAGGGTTTTTTTTTGTGGGGTAGGGAATCAAAATGTTACTTCCATTTGAAGTGAAGTGGAACAGTGCCTTCCTTCTGCAGATTTTACTCAGACTTAATCGGACACCAAACTAAACACAGCTTTGTTGTTTTTTTTAAACAGACACATTTTCTCTTTCTGTAGAAGACAAATCAACAAAAGTGAAGAATAATAAGAAAACACTCAAAGAATAAGAGATTAGTTTTTAGTATTGTGATTCTCTTGTGCTACTTCTCCCTTTTCTTCCAAGAACCCATTGGAGCACTCAAGGGCAGCGATTGCTGTATTCAATTTTACTTTTCACATCTCTACCTTTCCCAACAGTGAAACTCCACTTCCATGAACTCACAGCGAGAAAATCACTGATGTATTGAAAATCCAGGTATTTAGGACAAAACTTATCATAAAGCAAGCAATAACTTCAGGTGGCTTGCTATTAAGTCTTCTCTCTTGAAACATCTCGCTCTGTGCAGTAGTACCACACAAATCAATGACAGCAATGCACTGCCAAGAAAATATGGATTTATAGAAATTGTTCTGAAAGATATTCCACCTTCTAGAACTTACATCCTTGAAAAAGCTAACAGGCCAAAGCAGTTCATGGAAATCATTTTACATTCAAGCTTTCAGCATGAAGATTTAAATTCACAGCTTCACCTAGGAGCTAAACAGCCCCACCCTTTGCTGCAATGTGGACTTTCGATGCAACCTAGAGACCAGCTAGTTCACTTCAGGGCTATGAACAAGCTTCTCTAGCAGCTTGTTAGAAATGCAAATATGCAAATGTTTTAATTACTTGTTTAACATTCTTTTTTTTTTTCCCCCCTCTGATGATGGAAAAAAGGTAATTGTTTTGAGGAAGCTGAGATCTCCCCTCTGCATTTCAACTCAGTAACTCTTTACTGCAATTCCATTGTTGGCTGTGCTACAGTTTAATTAATGATAAAGTATTGGACCATTGAAATAATTACTGGAACACCAAACAGACTCTATCTGTGGCTGTATTTTATGTTAATTATGACCATCTGTTTAGAAACCCTATTTAGTACTATGAACATTCAGTGCCCTTTAAGTAACAGGATTCTTGTACAAGATGTCCTTATCTCAGTGAGTTTTTCAATATCACGCAGTGATTTTTCCCCCCAAATGAATTCCCATAGTAAGTGTAAAATACAACAAACTGAAAGCTGAACCTGCCCCTCCAAAACCAAACTGCTGAGGTAACACTTTCAACATAAGCCAGAATATTCACATGCATGGGACAAAACAGATTTTCATCCAACTTCTAGGAAAGCACAATCAAAGCTCTTGCAGGGATGAAAAAACCCTGCAGTCCTCTCTAATCTGCTCTTGCTACGTGTGTCTTTTAACCAAGGAAATTCCAAAGCAAAACAAATAAAAGCAAAACCAAACAGTGAGCCAACATGCCTACCAAGACTTTGCATTCCTCTCTAAAGAACTCCATCATTTTCTTTAGCACATCTACTTCAGCTTCCCTACTAAAAGAGCAGGACAGGAGATGCACAGAATTGTGAAGTCTTGTGGGAAACACTTTTCTTAAAGCTTTTTGCCAGCGCGACCAGAAATGTCAAGATACCAACAGTACCGCTGGCCTAGGAGCTCTCAGTGTTTTTTCACCTGGCTGCACCGCGCAGGTAAGAGCACAAAGCAGGTGAGTGGGAAGGGTGCTACCACCAGGACTCACACAGGGGAAAAAAGGGGGTAAGGAAAGCCTGGGACACACAGCTCAATTGTTAATACCTTGCTGGTCACTGACAATCTCCTAATGAACGGTCTTTATTTCCACACTGCTCAGTAACTATCTCAAATCTCTGCTCTGAGGCAGCAGCCACATTCAGCTTCCACAGATGCTTCACAGACTCACCAGAAACAGCCACCTCTCTATTGGGGCCTACAAGAAAGCTGGGGAAGGACTTTCCATAAGGGCAGTTAATGACAAAACAAGGGGAAATGGGTTTAAACTGAAAGAGGGGAGGTTTAGATTAGATATTAGGAAGAAGTTCTTCACTGTGAGGGTGGTCAGACACTGGAACAGGTTGCCCAAGGAAGTTGTAGATGCCCCCTCCCTGGAAGTGTTGAAGGCCAGGCTGGATGAGGCTTTGAGCAACCTGGTCTAGTGGAAGGTGTCCCTGCTGATGGCAGGGGGGTTGGAACTGGATGAGCTTTAAGGTCCCTTCCAATCCAAACCATTCTATGATTCTATTGACAGGCTTTTAAAATGCCATTGTTTGTTTTTTCTGATCAATAGGTTCTTGAAGTGCTCACCACTGATTTTCAAAGATCCATCTCTGAGTACTTAAATCATCATAAACGACAGATTCTACCAAGCATGTGTTGACCTTCAGATTTCTTGACAGGAAAAGATCTAATTAAATCAGCAAACAGCTGGGGAAAGCTCTCCACTCCTCAAACTTTGAGCAGCCACACGCAGCAGAAGGCTCCACACTCTATTAAGCACGCCAGCTCTCCTGCCACTGTCACACTCCGGCGTGTTAAGAAAACAATCTCGCATCTCCTGATTATCATAACAACCTCTACAAAAAGCATAAGCCAAATGCTTAATGGATTCTTGCTCCTTGTCAGAAACAATGTATTTTAGGAATGTCCTCTTGAAGAACAAGTTGCTCCAGCGCTCTAAACCGAGCAGACACAAGGAGGAGAGCGTAATAAAGGCAGCAAACTAGAAATCATTCTGGTGTTGCTTTAACAGACAGCAAACTTGGAGTAATTCCCCTGGTCTCTCCTCATTGTGGTAGACATGCTATCTACCTCTATGCAGAGATGGGACTTCTCTTCCCTGTCAAAGCAGAAGCACCCTGCAAAAAAATCCCAGAGAAATGGCTGATCCAGCAACTGGCCAGACATACCAAGTAAACAGTGTGAAAAGATGTGACAGTTTTCACTTAGAGGATGTTCACATGGTACAGTTACAATGAATTTTATGGTATTACTATTAGAAGCACAAGGCTAAGTTCAGAATTTCCATACTGAATTAAATACATAACAACAATTACAGCTGAGAAATTTTCTAGCACAAGAACATTCTCCCACTGCAGTCATGATTGCAGTGGAGTGTAGTAACCACAATAAATGACCAGAATATTTGATGAAATTGGAAGGTGGGGTGGAAAAGGAGAAAGGTGAAGCCCCCAACCCTTCCTCAAGCAGCTGTACCATTTACAAATGACAGAATTTCTAAGTTGTAGGTGTTCTTATTTCACATTAACTTTTAGTGACCTAATCCCATGACACTCTCTACTACTAACCCAAGTCACTGTACTTACTCAACTACCTTTGGACACGATAAATATAATTTAATCCTGATTTCCTAAAGAAAGCAAGCTTAGGTGATCATGCTTTCTATGAGTCTGTTCTTCATTCACCTCAAGACCCCTGGACCATTTCTGAGCAAACCTGAAAGAGATGGATCACATTTGAAATCCATGCACATTCCATGAAAGTTGGTATCTGGAAAAAGGATCAAAATCCACACGTGTCTCGGGAAAGGCTACAGCACCAGGCTCAGCAGTTATCTGTCTGTCTGTCTGCTTTTCCCATCTATCAGCATATATGCACCAGCCAACCAGAACCCAGCCAAAAAAATATCACATTTTGTTCAGACAGAATAAAGGGCTCTTTGGAAGGCAGGGACACAACACAAACCTGCGGGAACTCCAACAGATCTTTAAAAGACAGAGGGCTTGATCTACCAAGAGCAGCGTTGAACATTTGGTGCTCAGCTCTCGTTAAGCGAGGCAAGGAGAGGCTTCAGAACTCCGCGGCGGGATCCTGAGCCAGCACGTCGAGCTGAACGTTGCCTGGACCAGCTAATTAGAAATTCTGATGACAAGGCTTTATCTCCAAGTCTACCTTTGTCCAGGGCTTAGAGGCCTAGCACCAGAAGGAGATGTTGACATCTCCACACCAGAAGTTAATGACCTCAGGAGTTCAACAACTCGACACAAAGCCAGAGGAAGAAATATTCTTGAGTATTCTTTGTCAGAATTCTTCAGTGGTGCTGGTGTTGCTTTACACCTTAGTCCAGTGACAAGATTTCTCACCTAAACCAAGATACAAATTCCATCACTTTTAAATACTTCTAGCCTGTTTTCATCTAACAAAGAAGCATCCAAACACACACACATAAAGATGGGGCAATTTCAGTCCCTCTCCTTGAAGCTATTCCTTACACATGAAAGGACTGAATATTCATGAGACAACTGCAGCCTGATCCTCAGCTGCCCGACCAGCCCAGTTGGATTTTGCTTCATTTTTGAAGATCATTTGTACATTTTTATTAATTAGTCACTGGCTCAAATCTAGGTATATCCCTTTGGGCAAGAAACAAAAAGATTCAGTGCCTCCTCCCCAGCTGCATGCCTTGTGAAATTATATATTGTATTTTCACAAACTAAGGTAGCTCAATTACAATCTCACCATGGATTTAAGCCTAAATCTTAGAATTCAATTGATTTTTGACCACTAAATTAAAAAGTTCTTGGTATT